AATGCTTTTTGGCAACAATTTAAAAATGGCTGCGTTTTCAATAGAAGTTGAGGTCCCTCAGTTAACCATACGTTTATTGATAAGAAAATGAATGATAAAACTTTATTTCTGAAGTCACTGAGTGAGATGAATGGTATCTGCTCTCTGTTCTCTGAAACATTAATTGCTCAATGTGAAAATATCCCATGCTTTCCTCAGTAAATCCAAATTTTTTGGAAAGCCACACTTCCTCAAACATGACACTTCGTAGCTGATAGATGAAGCTGGGAAAAAAAATAGAATGACAAAGCGCAAGTATAAGAGAAATTGGTGAAATGTTGGGGGTAGGCAGGATGAAAGCAACCACCAGCACAAACGCTTCTAAAATAGAAGGGTCTATTGAGCAGAGACATCCCTGCTCCCCACTCCCACCATGAAAAAATATGACATCCATGAATAGGCCACTTTATCTTCTGAGGAAGTTCTAGTGAGAGAGCAGGATGTTCCCCCTCAAGATCTACTTGAGATGGGCTGAAGACCTGTTTATATTAACCCCTTTCTCTCCCTCTGACACTATCCAGTCTCACCCACCTTCCCTCACCAAGTTGCTATAGTGCCCTTAAAAATGAAAAAAGGAAAAGTCCTACCCACTCTGATTGCTTGTCCACCCCAACATCCTAACAGCTCTTTACTAAGCTGCACATTAAACATAATATCAAATGGAGGGTGTCAGTGTGTACAAAGAAAGGCAGAAGAGAAAATACCTTTGGTAATTAAAGAACAGTTAACACACTAAGAGGGTTTAATTTGTTTACTGTGTGGCACAATCAACTGAGATTGTATGTGTTTTGAGCTTAAGTTTAGAAAGTCACTATCAAACACCTAAAGCTTCTTAGGACAAATGCTGTTAGAATGCTTAGTGCTGAAAGAATTTACAGAAAATTCTGGAAGACCTGAACTGGAGCTGAGATGTCATTATTGTGGAAGATACCTAAATGGGCAGCAGTAGTTCTGGAGGTAGAGTGAGTTGTCCAGTAGTCAGAGGGTTGCAGGATCAATCCTGCTTGTTGTTATCTCCTGGGCCTCTGGTATGGCTGCTTGTTACCCCCCCACCCCACCCAGCCCTTGGCCAGAGAGCCCGAGTTTGACACCCAGTGTTGCCAACTGTTTTTGACTGAAAGTAGCTGAAGTTCCCCCCAAAAGTCACTAGATGCCGCCAAATGACGCCACGTGCTAATTTGCGTACGACGCAATGACGTCATCTGGTTTGTGTGATGACGTCACCACGTTTGCGTCATGACGTCACCGGTCTTGTAGAGTAAATCAAATAAAACCCACGTGATATTATTTTAAAAAATTATTTAATTTCTTTTTTAATACTTTATTAAAATAAAAACCCCATAGAATACAAAACAGAAACCTTTAAAACATCAAGGAAAGATGGCACAAAAAATGGAAGGAATATTTATATTTTGTCTGAAGAGAATAGAACTCTTAAACACAAAAATATTGAATTGATAGGAATGTATCTCTCGTCTTCCTCCGCTTATCCGGGTCCGGGTCGCGGGGGCAGCATCCCAACTAGGGAGCTCCAGGCCGTCCTCTCCCCGGCCTTGTCCACCAGCTCCTCCGGCAGGACCCCAAGGCGTTCCCGGACCAGATTGGAGATGTAACCTCTCCAACGTGTCCTGGGTCGACCCGGGGGCCTTCTGCCGGCAGGACATGCCCGAAACACCTCCCCGGGGAGGCGTCCAGGAGGCATCCTGACCAGATGCCCAAACCACCTCAACTGGCTCCTTTCGATCCGGAGGAGCAGCGGTTCTACTCCGAGTCCCTCCCGAATGTCCGAGCTCCTCACCCTATCTCTAAGGCTGAGCCCGGCCACCCTACGGAGGAAACTCATTTCGGCCGCTTGTATCCGCGATCTCGTTCTTTCGGTCATTACCCAAAGCTCATGACCATAGGTGAGGATTGGGACGTAGATCGACCGGTAAATCGAGAGCCTGGCTTTCTGGCTCAGCTCCCTCTTCCCCACGACAGATCGGCTCAGCGTCCGCATCACTGCAGACGCCGAACCAATCCGCCTGTCGATCTCCCGATCCCTCCTACCCTCACTCGTGAACAAGACCCCGAGATACTTAAACTCCTCCACTTGAGGTAGGACCTCTCCCCCGACCCGGAGGTGGCAAGCCACCCTTTTCCGGTCGAGAACCATGGTCTCAGATTTGGAGGTGCTGATCCTCATCCCAGCCGCTTCACATTCGGCCGCGAACCTACCCAGCAAGAGCTGAAGGTCAGAGCTGGATGAAGCTAGGAGGACCACATCATCCGCAAAAAGCAGAGACGAGATTCTCCTGCCACCAAACTCGACACACTCCACACCACGGCTGCGTCTAGAAATTCTGTCCATAAAAGTGATGAACAGAACCGGTGACAAAGGGCAGCCCTGGCGGAGTCCAACCCTCACTGGGAATAGGTCCGACTTACTGCCGGCTATGCGGACCAAACTCACGCTCCTCTGGTAAAGGGACTGAATGGCCCTTAACAGAAAGCCACCCACCCCATACTCCTGGAGCGTCCCCCACAGGGTGCCCCTGGGGACACGGTCATAAGCCTTCTCCAAATCCACAAAGCACAGGTGGATTGGTTGGGCAAACTCCCATGCCCCCTCCATCACCCTTGCAAGGGTATAGAGCTGGTCCACAGTTCCACGGCCAGGACGAAAACCACATTGCTCCTCCTCTATCTGAGATTCAACTATCGATCGGACCCTCCTCTCCAGTACCTTGGAGTAGACCTTTCCAGGGAGGCTGAGGAGTGTGATCCCCCTATAGTTGGAACACACCCTCAGGTCACCCTTCTTAAAGATGGGGACCACCACCCCGGTCTGCCACTCCCTAGGAACTGCCCCCGATGACCACGCAATGTTGTAGAGACGTGTCAACCATGACAGCCCTACAACATCCATAGCCTTGAGATACCCAGGACGAACCTCATCCGCCCCCGGGGCTCCGCCGCTGTGTAGTTGTTTGACTACCTCAGCAACTTCTGCCCCCGAGATCGGACAGTCCATCCCCAGGCCTCCCAGCTCTGGTTCCTCCTCGGAATGCGCATTGGTGGGATTGAGGAGCTCCTCAAAGTATTCCTTCCACCGTCCGACTATAGCCTCAGTTGACGTCAGCAGCTCCCCATCCCCACTGTAAACAGTGTGAGCGAGTTGCTGCCTTCCTCTCCTGAGGCGCCGGACAGTTTGCCAGAACCTCTTTGGAGCCGATCGATAGTCTTTCTCCATGGCCTCACCAAACTCCTCCCACGCCCGAGATTTTGCCTCGGCAACTGCCACTGCTGCACCCCGCTTGGCTATCCGGTACCTGTCTGCTGCCTCTGGAGACCCACAGACCAGCCACGCCCTGTAGGCCTCCTTCTTCAGCCTGACGGCTCCCCGAACCTCTGGTGTCCACCAGCGGGTACGGGGGTTGCCACCACGACTGGCACCGGCCACCTTACGACCACAGCTAGCAGCAGCCGCCTCGACAATCGCAGAGTGGAACAAGGCCCACTCGGACTCAATGTCCCCCACTGCTCTCGGGACGTGGTCAAAGCTCTGCCGGAGGTGGGAGTTGAAGACCGTCTTGACAGGTTCTTCTGCCAGGCGTTCCCAGCAGACCCTCACTATGCGTTTGGGTCTGCCAGGTCTACGCGGCATGTTCCCTTGCCATCTGATCCAACTCACCACCAGGTGGTGATCAGTTGACAGCTCCGCCCCTCTCTTCACTCGGGTGTCCAAAACATACGGCCGCAGGTCAGATGATACGACTACAAAATCTATCATCGACCTGTGACCTAGGCTGCCCTGGTACCAAGTGTACCGGTGGGCATCCTTATGTTCGAACATGGTGTTCGTTATGGCCAAACTGCGGCTTGCACAGAAGTCCAATAACAAAACACCGCTCGAGTTCTGATCAGGTGGGCCGTTCCTCCCAATCACACCCCTCCAGGTCAAGCTGTCATTGCCCACGTGAGCATTGAAGTCCCCCAGCAGGACAATGGAGTCCCCTGATGGAGCACTATCTAGCACTCGTCCCAGGGACTCCAAAAAGGGTGGGTACTCTGAACTGATATTTGGCCCATAAGCACAAACAACAGTCAGGACCCGTTCCCCGACCCGAAGGCGCAAGGAAGCTACCCTCTTGTCCCCCGGGGTAAACCCCAACACACAGGCAGAGAGTCTCGGGGCTAACAAAAAGCCAACCCCAGCCCTCCGCCTCTCACCCGGAGCAACTCCAGCAAAGTAGAGTGTCCAACCCCTCTCCAGGTCTCGGGTTCCAGAGCCAATGCAATGTGTCGAGGTGAGTCCGACTATATCTAGCCGGTACCGCTCAACCTCTGCCACAAGCTCCGGCTCCTTCCCCGCCAGCGAGGTGACGTTCCATGTCCCAAAAACTAGTTTTCTTGTCCGGGGATTGGACCGCCAAGGCTCCCGCCTTGGTCTGCCACCCGATTCACATTGCACCGGACCCTTCCTGTTCCTCCTGCGGGTGGTGGGTCCACAGTTGGACGAGCCCATGTATCCGGTTCGGGCTGGGCCCGGCCGGGCCCCATGGGCGAAAGCCCGGCCACCAGGCGCTCGCTCACGGGCCCCAACCCCAGGCCTGGCTCCAGGGTGGGACCCCGGTAACCCTCCGGGCCGGGTACTCTGACTCTTCGTTTTAACCGCCATGAAAGATCCTTCGATAGGAATGTATGTATGATTGAATTAAAATGAATTTTCTGTTGTAGTTTTCAAGTGCCTTGAGATGTATTCTTCTGTTGTGATTCAGTGCTATATATTGACCTAAAAGATAATATATATATATATATATATATATATATATATATATATTGTTTTTGTTTGGTTTTGTTGTTTTTAGTACTTTTGTGTACAAAGAAGCAGGTCGTGTTTAGTATTCAGAAACGTTACATGCAAACTGCCAATGACCTGCCAATGACTTACAGTATTATTCAGTTTTTTTTATAAAAATTTTAAATGTGCTACGTTATTGAACTCATCATAGAGTTCCAATGTTCCTTGAATGCACCACAAGTGGTGCGAGAAGCCATGTGTGAGTGCGACGCTGCCTGCCAGGGCCAGCCGAGCTCAGCTGCCGAAATGCGGCAGGATGGCGGAAGGAGCGGTCGCCCTTTATGTAGCTCCGGTGGCGATCTCAAATAATGGACTGGTGAAAGAAAACCCACAAAAGGTTTGATTGGCCAACGGAGGTAGCGTGATCATGCTGCAAGCATATGCGCAGATCATTTTCTTTCTGATCCTCTGGAAGGAAGGACGGTCCTGTTGCTTCAGATGCCTCGCTAATCTGTAGGTAAAGTCTGCTACAAAGTTGTAGTCAAAGTAGCTGAGGGGGGTCAGAAATGTCACCAGAACTGTCGCTAGGCGCTTTTTTGAAAAAATGTCATTAAGGGGGTCTGAAAAGGCGTTAGAAATGGTGACAAATTCGCTAAGTTGGCAACACTGTTGACACCTGTGTCCTATAGAGAAACCTTACATACTGTATACAAGCACGTGTATGCACACAGGTGTTCGAATGGTGCTCTCTCAAGTCTGGACTTGAGCATTGTTAACAAATAACCTAAGGCTGTGGTTGGCACTAAATGATCTATAAATTATTACAATGTGCTTTTCAGCAAAAAGTGTTACTGTCATATATCCTCATGTGATTGGCGCAGTGATATTTTTGTGTGTACTCCTTTTTTTGTTTTGTCTTTTTCTACAGGTCTAGAAGCAAATTCTTCTACATCTGTACATCCTATTGGTTATTTTTGTCATAGAAATTACAAAGAGGTGCTGGGGCCTCATTTATCAAGCTTGCTAATGCACAAAACGGGGTCAGAAAACTGTCTGCTTAAGCAACTTTCCACGCATACTTTGGGATTGATGAAACAAAACTTAGTGGAAAACTGTGCGCAACTTTAAGGTGACTAAGGACCTTGCTTATGCACATTTTGGACATGGAGAGCACCTGCAGTGTTGCTGCTGAGAAGGATAAAATAATGAAATCCTGCAGCATTATTACTTGTTCCGCTTCGTTTTCACACAGAACAAGACCCCCACATGCGCGCGCACACACACACACACGTGTACACACACGCACACACAGCCTGAAGCACAGAATACAACATTACTAAATAAACCCTAGTTCACTAGATTTTTCTAACATTATTGTTAAATCACTTCAGTCACTACTCTGACTCAGTTGTAGCTTATTTGTAGCATGATGATCTCCGAGGTGATGAAACAAGCTGGATATGTTACAAATTTCTTTCTGCCAACTTGGCAGATGCCATCGTCTTGAATTTCTCCTTTTCTCAGCTTGGGAATCTAAAATATTTCCACAAAGGAGACTTCAATCTCTTTCTAGGTAGAAACAGAGCAGTCCTGGTAGTTCGTCCTTTTCAGTTTTGCTTTTGCCCATGCAAGTCAAACTTAATTTATTTTTAATCGGCAGTGTTGGAGAACTCTTCACCGTGGATTAACCACAATGTTTCACATCATGGTTAATTGTCAAACTGGTTAATACCTGCAATCCTAGTACAGAGTTTTGCAGTAAGGGGCCATGCATTATCATGCTGCAACATGAGGAGACAGTTGTGGATGAATTGCACAAAAATGGGCCTCAGGATCTCATCACGGTAGCTCTGTGCATATAAAATGCAATCAAAATGCATCATTGATTGTTGTCCAAAACACATGCCTACCAATGCCATAACCCAGGATGAACAGAGTGCATGTCCAATGTGCCAGACATCATCGAATGCCGGCATTTGGCGACTCAAGTCACTTCACATGATGAACTGCAGTCTGCTCCATTACTATGGAGCTAGGATTGAGACAATATTCAATGTAACTAGTACCACGTTTTGTAATTTTGAACATGTTTCATGACATGTAACTTTGGATTCATAACTTGTAACTTAAGTTTTCTGACTTGTAATTCTCAATTCGTACTTGTATTTCTTGTTTTGTAACAGGAAATTTTCATTTTGTACATGTATTTTTTTTTGTAAAATCAAACTTTTATTTTGTACATTTACTACTCATTTTGTAACATCAAACATTCATTCAGAAACATGAAACTTTCATTTTTTACCTAGCAGACTTCCAAAAAATAAAAAAAATCAATGTACATGTTTGAAATCAAAACTCTCAAAACACACATTTCATTCTACAGGTACAAACCTCAAATCTACAGTGTTACGGATCATTTTGTCTCAATTCTAGCATCAGTGGGAGGAACTTGGGTGGAACCAATGAGAGCACGAGTCTTAGCTACCAATCACGTTTCTCGAATTCCTGTCCAATCATTGGGAGAGGAGGGCAGAGTTCTGTCAGAGCTGTAGAAGGAGAGAGAGAGTTACGACACTCCAATAGACTTCTGTGAAAAGAATGGAATGCGGAAGTCACGTGGTTCATGTAGCTTCGAATAGTTCCAAACAGAGAGACGTGGTTCACTTCATTTAGCTAGTCAGTCGGTAATTCTGCAACAGTGGCTCTAACTAACACAGCACTAGTTGACAGACAGCATTACAGCGTGAAATCCAGCTTGTGAACAGGTTCTGTGAGGAATTCTTTTCAGGAGGTCGCATTTCAGGCTCTCCACATCATATGTGACTGACTTTTACGTTATAACAACGATCACACACTAGGAATGTTATAAAGCGCCTATATAGGACAGTTTCTTTTGTATATTATCTGACTTTATAAACTCCCAACAACAATGTGCTTTTTTTTTTCAGGCTAAATCTACCCAAGACACTGGCTGTCAGACTGATTTAGCTGCAAGAATGCACTTGTCCAGGCTGACGTGAAGCTTTACCGGCATAGCAAAGGTGAATTATTTTTAATAATCTTCTATGTAAACATTTTATTATTACCTTCTAGTTTTAATTTTTTTACAGATTATTGTTACACGTGATTTTATGCTCTTTTAAACGTTTATAAATGTGCTGCTTCTTTGTTTTTTATAGAGCTCACAGCCGCAGTGTCTTGTGACACAGGGACCATGACAGAAATTCATCTTCCAGAAAGTCCCAGAGAAGCATCCACACCCCCTGAAAAGACCAGGATGTGAGGTGTCTGCTGTTGATTCCAGCTTCCACCTCAGTGACAGTGCAAGCTCAGTGAACTGTTCAAGGTAAAAAAATTAAAACATTTCAGAATTTTTAAGATATTAATTAAATAAGTATGTGATTACATCATGAAGGAGGCTACTGATTCTGGCCCTGTGACACTTGGTGGTGACGTGTGAGCTGATTCACCTGGTAAATAACTTTTACATTAAATATTTTGTTTTTGCTATCAAAAGTAAATTAACTAATAACCTGCATTATTGCAGGACACTCAGCAAAATATGGACTCTACACCATGAGGCAGACACACGTTAATACTCTATAAGAGCACATAAGGTGAGCAACACCACATATTATTATTATATTAATGTACTCTGTCCTGGATTTGTTTTCTTTCTGCATCTCATCATTAGCCTGGCTGATCACCTGATAACTCCTGTCATCTGGTTATGACAGCATGAGGATGTCCTCACACACCTGTAACCTATCAGCTCATCTGGCAGAATAGAAAGAGAAGAGTCAACACCACATCTCCTGTTCCTGGAAAGCCTTCAGCCATCCTTCGATGACTGAGAACCTCCATCAGCTCTGTCTCCTGTCTGCCCACAATTATTATAATAAATATTGTGTTTGACAAGTTTTTTGTGCTGCCAAATATCTCATTTTGATTCCAGTTTTGATATTTTAATGGATATTTATAAATTACATTATTTGAATTATCACATTGTCGCATGTTTAACTAGCTGTATTGTGATGAATTAAACTAGCACCTCACTGTTAAAAGCTCGTTTTAATTTCAAGCATGTTTAAGTATTTATGGACATGAACAAAAACAGGAAATATATAAATTGAGATTTATTTAATTAATATAACAAATAAGGGGGAAAGAGTCATTGAAAGGCACATTCTTCTGGGAGCTCCTGATCCTGACGACACCAGCAGAGGAGACCACCTGCAGACACCAGAGGACCTAGAACCGAGAGAGCAGCTGTTATTAGTAAATAAATAAAGAAATCAGGGCAGTTTTAGTGGGCTGAACACATTACAGAATAATTTTCTCATGGGATATTTTCATAACTTTCTGCAGCAGACTGTAGCTTGAGTCCAGAGCTCCTGGAGACCTGCTATCCAGCACGTTTCAGTGGTTTTCCTGCTTTAACGGGTTAGATTAGCTGTTAAGCAGCTCAGCTATTTGTTGCTGATTAAAACCAGGTGTGTTGAAGCAGATAAATCTCTAAAACATGCTGAATACTAGCTCTAGGGCCGTGGAGACAAACCCTGCAGCTAATCTGATGCTATGGCTAACGGCTACTTACATTCAGAGCTGGTTCTGTTGGGTCGGTTCCTGTAGTTTCAGGCAACTCACAAGCTCAAAACAATAAGGCTTAGGTCCGCTTGTCTCCTCCAAATAGACTTGGTCCCTTTCTTCTCGAGTGTCTGCGTAAGGAGGGGGAGAAACGTCCTCCACTTCTAATGACTGCTCAGAATGAAGGGAGCTAGCATCGTCCAGTTAGCCGTCGTCTTCGTCACTGCCGCGGCTCCGCCCTCTCGGTCCTCCAGGCAACGCCTACTAATGTGGCAGTTTTTAAAATTGATACGTGGGTGGAGTAAGACTCTGAGGGGGGAGTGACAACTTCTTTAATGCCTCTTGTGTTTTTCATGCCTTTTTGACTTTCTGTTTCCTCCCTTAGGTTTTCCAGCTGGGTTCCCTGGTTGCATCGCCTGTTCCTTTCTCCTCCTGGCCCTGACGCCGGCTCCTCATGGCTTCCTGGGATGTCCCTCTCTCCTGATACCATCTCATGTCCCCCCTCACTTTCCCTCATCTCATTTGCCTCACTGCTACTGCTGCTTTCCTCATTCTCTGAAATTAAAATGGCACAGTTAGAATAAAGAATCATTTTTAAATAAAATAAATAAAAATGTCTAATATTTCTAAAGATTGGTACCACAGTTTACTTGAGAACAATAAGTGTGGTCACTGGTCAGTGGACCAACATGCAGTGGTTCTGCTGTACTTCACAGCGGGATCCTTCCTCCTCCTTGGTTCAGGGCGATGAACAAACACAGCATCAGCCCGGAGTCTCACCTTGCCTTGCCTAGTCTTAGTAAACTGTCCCTCCTCTACATGTGCCTGTAGAGTGGTGTATTAGTTTATTTCCTGCCACATTTAACAGTTTAATTGCAGCCTTGTGCAGTTGAGAGCAGAACATGTAGAGCCTTGATAGAAAACATTTGAGAGTGCACATTAAACTCACTGCACACAGCTTTTTGTTTTTGTGATCTCTGGTCATGGTGAGGTTGCTCCTGCTGACTTGAGCCAACCATTTTCTTCTCTCTGCATCTTTGGGTAAGCCATAATTCTGATTCCTCCCTCAGACCGATTGCTGTATGCAGCGCAGCCAACCATGTAAGATAATCAACCTATAAAGGTATTATTAAAATACTATTTTTGTACATATAGAAATATTGAACAAAGCAAAAAATATAAAGATGTAAAATTACATTTGAAAATTTTATCCAATCCTAAAATTAGTCATTTCAAATTTTAACCCACGGACACATTTTATTTTAATAATAATCAAAATAAAGTTATTCAAAAGAGTTTCATTAGGTCTTGAGTACATTGCTCATAATTAACGATTCAGCGTATTTGTGCATATATAATGACTAAACATAATGTTGGTAAAATGCTTTATTAAAATGCTGTTAAACATGTACAAGTTTGGTATTCATTTTTTCACAGTTAACACTTTTTTTAATCTACCTTGTTTGACCGTACAGTTTTATTGAAATTTTCTTTTTAATTAGTTGCTATTAGTCAGGCTGTGGAAGCCAGATAAACTGGGTTATAGATGCATGTACTGTCTTCACATAAAAATATAAAGTAATGACTGTAAAATGTATTCTACTGAACATAATAGATCATCATTCAAAGCATAAACAGCTGCATATTTTCTTCAAGGTAAGCTGGAGCAGAATTCTAGCTTTCAATAAACACTTTAAAATGGATATTACAACTCGAGTTTAGGGCTTCTTGTAGGACTTAAAGTATTAAGTATGCTTATATTAGAGCAGTGTGTTGCATTACTACATCAAATTTATTGCTATAATACAGCGGTTCCCAAATTTATTTAGCCGCGCACCCCCTTCTATGTACCGACCATGTCGACACACCCCCCAGCCCCCACATCAGGGCATGGCTATATATATATATATATATATATATATATATATATATATATATATATATATACTGTATATATATACATACATACATACATATATGTAATCAGACATCAAGCTAAACAGTCACTTGACAGACAGGGTTAAAAAAATATGATCGACCTTTTCCCCCATCACTTCCATTTTTTAAATAGTAATTAATAAACATTCGATACCATTACAATTTCCTTTGATTTAATTTTAAATAAATATTTAGAGTGCCCAGGTAGCACATAAACAATGCTATTTAACGGTTTTGTTACAGCAGGAACGTTTAACCAGAGATCTCTCCTTCCTTCTGCTCTGCGTAAACCTGAGCTGATCACCTACTTGTGCGTAATCAAATGTCTATAGGGGAAAAAGATATAGCCATGAGGTTCACTTTTGCTTCAGACCGACTTATTGCTGTTTTATGGTGTGGCTGAATCTGCGATCCGCTGCCACGCTGACTGGAATAACAAATGCTGCAGTAACATGAGATGTGGTCAGGTTCATGAAGAGTCACTGGCTGGAGCGGACTCGAATTTCATACGTCATCCCAAAATAGAAGCTAATATCTTAATTTGACCTGGAATGAAAAATGTTATAAAACCTCTTAAAAGTTTTTTTTTTATCACGGAGGAGGCAGCGCTCATTTCTGCCTTCAGTCTGACGGTGCGGCGTGCGCTTATTGAATGTGTGTGTGTGTGTGTGTGTGTGTGTGTGTGTGTGTGCACGCGGCACAGCTCCATGAGCCGCTCCAGTCACAGCGTCTCGTTCTTGGCGCTATTTAAACCAATGTTGTAAAATGACTTCTGCCCAGCCCAGATGTGCACCCGTGAGCCGTGGTTCCGCTGGAACGCCTCTGACCTCTGACAGAAGCACTCTGAACTTCAGATCTTCGGCGCGCTGTTAATAGCCTGAATGGGAATCATTTCTTGATTTATTTAGTTACATCCACAATGTTCTGTGTGAGGTTTACAATGTCAGAACACCTGCATGAGACAGGTGTTAATTACAATCTGCCAGAATGACTCACCACCTTCAGACAACACCGTTAAAAATGATCAAATACGGATCTGGAGGTTTGTCCTAAAATTGAAGTGGCAGCAGCCCGTTATTTCTCCTTCTCTGATGTTACTGAGGCACAAACCTCTCACACCAGTGTTATTCTGTTGCTAAATACATGAGTGCGTACTGAATATATATAGATTGTGTGTGTTTTAATGGACAGGAATCCAAACAAGAAATGCATGTATTGAGATTTACTTAATAATTAAAAAAATATTAACGATCGAAGTCCAGAGGAGGAAGGAATCCTTTATAAAGGCACATTCTTCTGTTGGATCCTGAAGTTGGCACAAGGGGGATTGACACCAGATAATTACCTACAACCAAGAAAAAAAAAAAAAAACTGGTATTAGTTGATTGAATGATATCAGTCTTTAAATCTGAGCTGAGTTCAATTTTAATGAAAATGTTTTTGATTGTGTAACATAAATGTGAACATTACAGAATGATATTATCATGAGGTATGCCTTAGGCATTTCTCCACAGAATATATTTACTGTAGTAATGATTCTAGCTCAGGGGTAGCAACCTGGTCCTAGTGAGCCGCTATCCAGCATGTTTTAGTTTTTTTCTCTGCTTCAACACAGTCGATTCAGCTGTTCTGCCGAGGCCAGTTAAACTGCTGATTAAAATCAGGTGTTTTAAAGCAGATAAACCTCTAAAACATGCTGAAAGTGGCTCTCTAGGCCCAGAGTTGCCTAGCTCTATTACAGTTTACCATTCAGATACTGGTCCTCGCTGGCTCGGTTACGGTGGTCTCAGGAAACTCACAAGCTCAAAACATACGGCTTAGGTCCACTTGCCTCCAAGTCTCTTTCCTCTGGTGAAGGAGTGGGAGAGCATCCTCCACTTTAAATGACTGCTCAGAGTGTAAGAGCTAGTGTTGCCTTGTTAGCCATCTGTCTCCCAGTCTGTCTGTCACTCATCGCCGCAGCTCCGCCCTCACAGTCTGCCAGGTGACGCCTCCTTGTGGCTCATTTTTCAAAATGGAAATATGGGTGGAGTAAGGCTCTGGAACTGATGTTACGAAGCAGGTCTCAGCTCAGTATTAATCAATCAATATCTATCCACATCACTGAAATCAATGCACCTTCACTAGAAATGTCATAGACTTGTCAGGCAGACTTTATTTAAATTTACAATAAACAATTTCATAAGTCACAAGAAAATCTTGTACCTTCAGTTTCAAATACAATGTTTTTCTATCCCCTTTTGCTGCATTAATTAAAAATACCTGCTGGGAGTCCGTTCTAATGTTAACCCAAGTCAACTCAGTTGGATGAAAAACTACACAACAGGTCGCAAAGTTGTTTTACTGCCAAAATAGACACATCAAAACCAATACATCCATTTCAAGAGTAATCAAACATAAATTGAAGGTGTTCAAACATGAGAAAACAAAAAACAGAGAAACTAAACCTCAAGTAAAATTGATGTGTAGCAAAGGATTTTTTAGTACATCAGTATCATCTGGCTCTAAAAGGAAAAACATTGCAAAGTATATTGCTCTCAGTTATTATACTTTCTCCATGAAAAACATTTAACCAATGAAATTAAAATAAATAAAACAAAACCTCGTCCAATTGATTTGATCGCTCTGTCAGTAAAAGAAGTGCTTTTGGTTCACTAAATAATCTTAAATAAACCAGATTTATATTACCGTCTAAATGGTAACTGTAATGAAGTATTTTTTTTGCTGCAAATATACATTCAAATGTTTATTATAATCAATAAAAATGTGTTTGCTTGATAATCTTAGGCATGTTTGTCGCCTTAGGCCAGAGCATCAAGCCAGGTGTACACTGTGCGAGTTTTAGGCACATTTTGAGCCGGTTTTCCTCTCGTGTGAGAATCTTTGTTGTTGGGGTAAGTTTTGAGTCGTGCATTGTGTCGTTTAAAGGAGATGACGAGAAGTGATTGACTCAATGTTAGATATTTTGCTCATTCGTCGTAAGGGTATCGTAATGTTGAAGCAGTGCCACAACCCAAATGTACCAGAACATCAATGCCCCATAAACCTTATGTCCTTCTACGGCAGGCCTGAAGGACAAGAGACATCAATAACAGTCTCTGATCTTCTATTTTTAGCAAGTTTTTTAGGTCTGACGTGTTGCAACTAAACATACAGTCAGCAGGCAGGTCCAATCCGTGCATTCCACTGAGAACATGACTTGTGAGCTTTGCTCTGCAAGGAAGTTGTACAGTCTGAGTTGGAGCAGAATGCTACAAGATTCTGCTACTAGTGAAAAAGTCGTACAGTGTAAACAAATAATATCTTTGTAGAACAACTCAATATAACATACGTTCATTTCCAGAATATAAGCATTTGGCAAAAAACATAGATTTGTCCCAGCAGCACGAAAGATTCAAGAACCAATTATTACAATTTGAAGTATGTTGAATATTGGGAAAGTTTCATAAAGCATTAGCACAGAATTATTGAAAAAATATACCAATTTCTTTATAAATCAAGCTCATACACTGGAATACATTCATTGCACAGTTACATAAACATCCCCCGCCCCACCCCAGCACATACACACACACACACACCATTTTTATTTAGCAGCTCATGTGTTGTAAAGCCTTCAATGCCACATGAAGGTCCTCTCCCTTAACTTAAAGCACTGTAAACATTTAAACTCTAATGGATTTTAAAGACCAGCAGGACAGACTCCTGCAAATATGTATGTATATAAAAGTATTGAAATATTAATTTGGCTATCCCATGATTCAACCTACATTCAACAGTACAGCATTAGGTTTAGAGATCTGTTGAACTTGGTAAAACAGACACAATTAACTTATCCCCATTCCCGATAAACTTAACATGGAGAAGGACTCTCTGATGTAGATACTTTTAAAAATAATTTATTTTACTGTCTGTGCTGAGTTACACAGCAGGCCTTCATCTCAATAATACTATGGAGCAGTGATTAAGTGTTTATGCTATAAAAAAGTAAACACTTGACTTTGTGTGAGTAGAACTTCCAAGGGCACATGTTCCGGAGGACATTAAATCGATTTTTAACAGCAGACAAGCTGATATGTGGGGGAAATAAGGATTTGTTTTTCTATTGTTTTCTGCAGATTCATTGTAACACCTCAAAAACTCACGTGAGCACATCTTTCTTTCTTTCTTTCTTTCTTTCTTTCTTTCTTTAGGAAGCTTGGAGAACAATGTAAGGCCATCTGGCTATACTCAAAATCCCAGCATGCATTGCAACAAAAAAAGAGAAATATCTGGGCCAAAAACCCCTGTAATGGGTATACATGTACAAACGTCTCTGAACTTCCAGCACATTCATTTCATATTCAGAAAAAGTCTGCTGGGTTTTTTAGTTTGGAAATTAAAATTTCTATATAGCAACAAAGTCTAATAAACAATAATTTGAATATTTTAGATACGTTCTGAGCCCATTTACCTCTGGTCAGAAGAAAGGGGAAGAAAGCATCTGGGCTAGATATGCTCTTATGAAAAGATGTTTCATGTATGCTGACAAATTATTTTAACAAACATCACTGTCTAAGCAACAAACCAATTTTCTTTAATTGATTGAGATTCTTGTATAATTCACAGCAAGTTGTTTATATCCAAAATTAAATAATTTTCATGTTATTTACAGCTTTTATTTTTGTTGACATTTATTAATCAAGGTTAAATCTCATTGAGAAAGAATTCCTCATTTTCACCTGTGTACTCTCATGTACTTGTCTGATGTAAATCTTAAAGCGCTACCTTTTCTTGCTCAGCAAGAGTTAATTAGTTGATCATCGCAAATTCTAAGACTTTTTGAACCAGAACTAGAACTTGATGGAAACATCCAGCAGAAACTGTAGGTTCAAAGACTTTTCCCTGACAAGCATCTGTCTGAAACTCGTCTTTTTCCCTCCACTGTAAACAAATGAAAATGTGGGTAAAAGTTTGACACATGTGACAAAAACACTGTAGTTCTGTAGTAAAATAAATTACAAAAAGTTTTTTTCTTAAAAAAGTCAAGATCTTTCAAACTCAGAAACCATATTTCAGTTTATAAATACCTTTACAAATATACATGATAGCTATTCAAATAAAACCTTTCTTTACAAAGTTAAATTTGTTATACGTTTGTGACAGTGGTGACTTCTATCCATATTCGTTGTATTCTAAGTATGGCTGAATGCAAACGTGCAATAACGATGATAAACAGAACGAGTCATCCCTCACATAAAACAAATAACACAAACAGACAGAAGTAACCATGCTTTCAGAAATAAGTTCCATTAAAAAGGTTCATTCTGGCCTTTGTGGCATCTTACTATTTAATTTCTTCTAAGATCCCAACATTTATTTGGCTCCAAGGGCAGCGCATGGGACAAAATAGGAGGTTCTTGCCAACACCATTCCTAAACAGTCTCTTAATGCCCTTTATTTCTTGCTGCTCTTATTCTAAGTTAAGGAGGTATTATCTAGTAGGCACGGAATGGTTTCACCCCGCACATTCTCTGTAACAAACGACAGGCCAGAAAAATAGAATTTTATTCCTAAAACAAAGTTTAACAGTCAATATATAATCCTTCATTTTTGAGTCTCTTGTAGACAAAGATCCCAAACTACAGTTTAAGATAAGCTGAAGTACCGTGGAAGTATTGCAGGTCGAGTTGTGCTGATATCTTGACGAGCTTGATTTCAGGGTGGCATTAGCCATAAACTGTGAGGACAGGTCCACATTTTACTTTCACAAGCTCAGGTCTTATGTCCTAGCCACCTCTTTGCTGGTGAGCTGTTTGGGAAGACAGGGTTCATCAGGCAGGGAGTCGTGTCCAAACACAGAGTCATCTCCTGATGAGCAGGTACTATTAGAGTCCTGACAGGTGGGCGAGTACTGCTCAAACGGCACGGACAGGTCCAGGTACTCCTGTTATAGGTTACAGAGTTAGAATGGGATGTATGGGATGCTCACATACAAGAAAATCTGTGACTAACCTAAATCTTCTGCTACACCTTGTCAGTTCCTAAATATAGTTCAACTTATCCTATTATCTGGATTTCTTACATGAAAGTCAGTTTATATGTTACTGAATTCTAGTTTGTACACTTGTCAGTGTTAAATGAATTGTGTTGTTCATAAAATAACTCATCTAAGTCTTTTCTGGTTAATGATGTGAGGGAGGATCATCACGATAATTTCTCTTACAGAAACCTGACAGAAGATCATGTTAGTTTTAACAGACTAAAGCCAAGGAGGAGCAAAAAGAAGTATATGTTATTCAGTCAGGTCTGTTGATTAACTTTAGAATGAATTTTTGACAGGGATGCTTTTTAAAAATCGATATCTGAAATACCAATCATATCCAACACTTAATGTCCGATACCGATAGAAATGTCATTTTATAAATGCTAAATCCGATCTTTTCCACCCGATTCTAGATCTTTTGGAAATCACAAGATCAGGCCCGACTTTTGATCACGTGATCAGATCGGAGCATTCCTCAACAATAATCTTTGACTGCATTCCATTATCACTTTTAATATTGTTACAAGTGTGTATTTATGATCTATGTACTGAATCTACATTCGTTTTCTTTTATTTGTTTTAATGTGTACTTTTTTTTTTACATGGAACCTATTTTTCTCCACCGCTGGGACTGCAGATAGCAGTTACTGAATCTATTGCAAACAGTCGTTTGTGCGTTGCTGACATTATTGTAGTAAGTACATTGCTAGCATTTGATAAAAATTATACTTAAAACTTAAGTCCTGATTGCTTGAACTTTAAGATTTTAGTCTTTTAGTTAAGAGAACATTCATGTAGCACTGACTTACTCTAATCTTAGTGAGGTTTAGAGGTTTCTATATTTGTGGTGCATGCATGAACAGCAAATGTGTTGGGGACTTACTTCAGTGGAGGTAATTGATAAAATCCGATCAAGATCTTCTACTAACTGCCTGAAGGTTGGCCTCTGTGATGGAACTGCATGCCAGCACTCCTTCATGATCATATACCTGAAATTCACATCTATCATCACTACACATCTCATTTGATTTAAGTAACAAAAGTGCAAATTGACAAGTGCTCACAGACACCAAACGGGATGTTTGTAATCCAAAAGGGACAAGAACTGGGATACGTCTGACGTAGCAGTACCTGTGATTCATTGTTGTTTATAATCTCCTCACTTAAAAAGCAAGTTTGTTTTAAAGTGTACTTTTGGAAACTGTTCTGTGAACTTCTAAATGTCGGGGCTAATATGGCCCAGGAGCCCTGATAACATGCCTATATTCAAATACAAATAAAATGTGGTTTTAAATTCTAGGGCCACTTTCAATGTGAATCACAGCTTCCAGTTAAAAACAAATAAAGTGATCTTAAAAGTGTTTTGCTACATACAGCTCGTGTGTGCAGTTGGCAGGTTTGTCCATCCGATGTCCCTCTTTCAACAGCTTGAAAAGTTCTTCCACTGGGATACCTGGGTATGGAGAACCCCCAAGAGTGAAAATCTCCCACAGCAACACCCCATAAGACCACCTGAGGGAGAGAACAAAATGCATATGATGAGTAATGAGGTGAAGAAGCACTAACAAACTACAAGGTCAGAAGGATGTTTTACTAGTTTCTACAGCTCTGTGGGGGCTATTATCCAGATATGGAAACAACATCAATTCACCCTAAACCAGCCATCATAAGGTGTTCCACATAGATTTCTGTTTGAGGAGTCCAACAATAATCAGGAGAGCTCTGCAAGAGCCAAGAACCAGTCGGGGAGACGGTTTAAAAAAAACCTATAAGCAATGCACTGAACAACCATGCACGCTCCCCACACAAGACTCCATTGTTGAACAAAAATAATGTTGACACTCTGTTAAAGTTTGGAAACAGCAATTAGAGAAGCCAGTGGATTACTAGAAGACTATAGTATGGTCACATGAAAGCTATGGAACTTCTTGGCTGTCTTTCTACACATGATGTTTGGAGAAGAAATGGAACTGCCCACTATCCCAAGAACATCATATCAACAGTTAAGTTTGAAGGTGGAAGCATCATGGTGTGGGGCTGCTTTACAACAAGAGGTACTGGCAGATTTCTTATTATCGATGGCAGGATGAATGGAGAAATGTACTGCTGCCATCTACCAGAAAGCTGAAAATGAAAAGAGGGTGGACATTTCAGCAAGATAATGATCACAAACACAAGACCAAGGAAACAACCAAATGGTTTCAAAGCAAGACAATCAAGTTGCTTGCATGGCCCAGTCAATCTCCTGACCTAATTCCTATAGAAAATCTATGGAGAGAACTGAAGATCAAAGTTCATAAAAGAGGCCTCCAGAAACCTTCAAGAACCTTTGTGTGCAAGAGTTGGCCAGAATCAGTCCTGAGCAACGCAGACGACTGGTCTCTCCATACAAGAGACGCCTAGAAGCTTTAATCACCAACAAAGGCTTTTCTATATAGTATTAAATAGTGTGTTCAATACTTATTCCCTGTGTCATTTCACTTTAGTTATTATGATTCATCTTGTAAACTTAAATCTTCTGATTTTGTGGTGTGAATTAAATATTTGGAATTTTTGTCAACAGCCCACTTAGAAATACCCTCACTTTCATCATACGAACACTCCCAAGCTGGCAGATCTAACCAAACCAAACTACATCCTACTTGTAAAGAAAGTGGAAGATGATCTTGCAAGATGAAAATCCTTACCAATATCACTCATGGGGAGGGTTGCTACAATTAAAATGATGGTTTTACCCTGAATATATTACTTATTTTCAATGATCCTAAACAAGCCACCATCTGACTTTAGATTTCTGGACTCCTCAATCCATAAATTCTTTTGGCAGGATAAACCTCCATGAATTAGCTTAAAAACATTCAGAAGACCAAAGATGGGGAGGGCTGGATCTACCCAACTTTTATCATTATTTCTTAGCCAACAGGCTGACCCCTGAGGTGTCAAAAGCTTATTTTGTATATGGTGAGGGTCGGACATGTTTTTGCTCACTTCATTGTCTATTGTTTTCTTTTAATTTTAATAGTGTAATCATTTTAAACCCATGTGAACATGTAAACCCCTGATAAAGCATTAACTGGGAAATAAAATTCCAAATTTCCATTCCAGTTGTGTGCAGTGGTGGCTGGTGAGAAAAATGTTGGTGGGGCTAATGTACCAATAGAGCTCTTTTGTTATCCTAGTTTACTAGGATTAGCTTTAGCTTTAGTAGCTTTCCAAGTAACTGTTGAACATTTATTATTATTATTTTTCTACATTTTTCATAAATTCATGAATTTTAAAAAGCACAACTGATGAAGTTCCAACGTATTGATGATGCGCATGGGTCTGTTCAGTGTGCAGAGCCTTCTGTCCAAACAAATAGGTACCCTGAACATTTTAGTCTGTTGCCAGAGAGATAATGTTGTGTAGTGATGGCAATGTGTGAATATCTAGATAATTATAAATTGCATCTATGATGTTACCTTGTCTAGAAAAAGGGACAGAGAACTTCTTAACATTTGACATGTTTTGGCATAAAACTCCCAAAAGTCTCAGTCTGTAGGTTTCCTGAAAAGGCTGACATAAAAAAAAGATACGTTCTAATTGGCAGTGCTAAACCAACTGTTTGACTGCATGAGTTTTCTTCTTTTGAAAACCCTGCTGTGACAGCAGCTCCTGTTTTGAGTGGTGTGTTTTCATAAAGCCACTCTAATTCACATACAATGCCTGCTATTTACCAGGTTAGTGGATCGCTGAAGAGATGAAGGGGTATTTGTTCACCAGTGCCTGTATAAGCTTTAAGGCTGAACTTTCATGAGATCAATAAGTGCAAAAGAATACTGAACCAATGATACCATGAATAACATAATTCTGGAAAATTAGGAACTAAAAAAGTCCTCAAACTACCGCCATTACTAGTTTTACCTCTACAGAAAGAAAAATTTTGGAAGGTGTAACAAACACAAACTATGACTTCAGCATGAGTTGTCTGAATCTCTGAATGTTTGATTTAACATGTTTATGCATCTGGTTGTTGTTGATGTTTTGGATTTGTTTTAATGGGTTTTAGCTACTTCCCCTGCCTCATCAAATGAAAAATGATCATGGCCTGTCCTGGTGTGCGGGAATAAACTGGCTTCAGTATGACTACTGTACTGTATAAAGAGAGAGGAGTTTGACATGAGTTCACGTTGTAATCCAGATCTGCTGAAATAACAGAACAGGCTGGATCTCCCCTCAGCCCGTTCCGAGTCTGGTGTAATCACACAAGTTGGGCAGTGCCGACGGGCCCTTGTTTAGCTTGGAAGGCTGTGACACAAAGTCTGACTGTAGCTGCAGGGTGGTGGCGGTAGTGTTGGAGGGTTACCTTGTCACATTCTCAGAATTTTCCTTGCCTCGCCTAGATAGCAGCCAAAAAGATGCAATCAGAGTAGGAAATAAGTTTGTCTCAGCTGCTTTGAAAGAACACACTGAGATGGGTTCATTTGATTATTAATTTGGTTCACTCATTTAAGTTGTATGGGGTGGGGGGGTGGGTGTAGAGAAGTACAAGTACAATTCAGTTGGAGTACAAGTCAGCTGGAGGAGAAAGCAGCTTCAAATGGTAGGACTTTGTTTCCTGATATTTAGACATCATGCCTTTGGTTGGCAACATGACTACCACTGACTTATTTTGCTTTGCAACATTGATGTTTTATCCTGAAGGAGTTCTGTCATGTTGTGGAGTTGCTAATGCTAATGGTTAGCTTCTACTTGCCAAGACGTTTTCTGCTGTTTCCTAGACTCTAAACCAGCAACAGCCTTCCCCGTCGTGAGTCAAGTTGGGTGAGTCCATGAATGTTAGTGACAGTGTGACGTAGATCGGTGAGGTTTCTCAAATCCTAGAGTTTCACCTTCTATTTTCTATCAGAAGCTAATGCAGGAAACAGGTGTAGGAGACTATTTACATGTTTAACTTGCACAAAAAACTCAGTGACACATTATAATCAGAAATTATGACTTAAAATGTTTTTTCATTGTTCCACACCTTTTAAAACAACAACACAATTTTGTCCATTTTTGTTAGTTAGTACAAAGTATAAACACGAATGTGGAACCTGTTATTCACAAGATGATAAGGATTACAAAGTAAGATACTTGGGAAGGGAGCAGGGCTATCATGATCAGCCACATTATTTAATGCATTTCTCCAGTGTTTGCATGCTTGTGTTAACTCACACATCGCTCTGATGTGTGTAGACCCGGTCGAACAAAGCCTCTGGAGCCATCCATTTCACAGGTAGGCGACCCTGAAAAATAAGCAATACAACACAACCGCTCTCATCAGAAAAACATAGGAACAAAGCAGACAGGTAAATAGACACAAAACGCTACAGTTCAGCCACGCCCTTCAATCACCTGACTGATGGTGACTCACATAGCAAACTGTCATATAGTAAGGTAACACAGTGATTAATTCATTAATTTGGATTTGTATGGCTCTGAACACCAAAACAAATTAATGCCAGATATTTAATAATTTTGGGAACAAACAAACTCCTGTTCAAGGTACAAAAACTAACATTTCAGAATGTTTGGAATGGACATAAAAGCTAGGGTCTGTGATGTTTTGAATACATGCAATAAAATCTCTGTTTTTAGTTTTTAACATGCATTCTACATACAATTCCAAACACTTCTGATTTGTTTTGATTACAGAACACTTGTTCTAAAACTCACATTTGTGGTCTTTTTGTAGTAGTCTATGTTGTGCACGTCTCTGGCAAGCCCAAAGTCAGCTATTTTCATGATGTTGTCCTCAGTCACAAGAACATTCCTGGCTGCAAGGTCTCGGTGAATACACTGGAGGCAGAATTATAAACGTATTTAAACAGAGCATTAAATCCACACACACACAAAAAAGATATGCAAGAAGAAAACTGGAAAATGGAAACATTTTATAGGGATGAGCGAGTACACCACTATCTGTATCTGTATCTGTTCAACCAACTAAATTATCTGTATCTGTACTCGGAATGGGTGTGGCATAACCCGTAAGTGGGCGTGGTTTAACCGGAAGTGGGTGTGGTTTGCATCAATATATTATTTTAAGTCTGAAATTGATATGAATTGATCAGAAGTTGATATGTGTATTGTTTATTTGAAAACTATTTACAGAGCAACCTCAGAATTGAGATTAAATATTTTTGATCACAATAGTAAAGGAACTATTTCAGAACAAGTTTTTCATTAAAATCAGAACATTAATATTTAAGTGCATGGATTAATACATCTGAACTCATGCAGTAGGAACTAGGAAATATGAAATGCTAGAACCAGACACAACTTTATATCTATTTTTATTTTAATTTGATTAAACTGATTTTTTTCTTAACGTTCTTGGCATTTTGCCCCACACAAAGTTAAACAAAACAATGTGGATTGAGGTGTGTGTGTCTTAGGCCCTGTCCACACGTAGCCGGGGATCTGCCAAAACGTAGATATTTTTCTACGTTTTTGCCTGTCATCCACACGAAAACGGAGTTTTTTCACACAAAAACGGATCTTTTTAAAAACTCCGGCCAAAGTGAAGATCTGCGTTTTCTCCGTTTTGGGTGTCTGCGTGTGGACGGACAAAACCGGAGTTTTAAGGTCCGCAACGTCACTTTCCGCGACAAAAAAAAAGCTGACATCATGTGTGCGACCTGTGTTTACACTAGCCGACAGCATGGATGCCCTCAGAGCTGCGCTCGCTTTATCAATTGTCCAAGCGCTTTTTGCTTGTTTGTTTTTGCAAGCGGAATTACTGCTCCTTGCAGAAGACCACAGACGAAGGACGAGGTTAAGAACGGGGGAAATACTGCCGCCTACAGGTCTGGCATGTCCTTAACAACGTATTTATCCGGGTACGTGTGGACAGAGTTTTGTTTTAAAACGAGGTGGTGTGGATGCAAGTTTTTGGAGGGGCGGATATTCGTTTTGAAAAAAAACCCGGCTACGTGTGGACTAGGCCTTAGAGAGATAGAGAGGGAGAGAGGGAGAGAGAGGGAGTAAAAAAAATTTAAAAACCCGACCGGAGCGGAGGTGACTGATGCAGCACGTCAGCTCTGTCTTGTCAAATGCACCAGGTAAGTTACGAAAAAAGTCACTTTAAATATTCAACCGAAAAAGAGGCAAGCTGAAGAAAACCTAGAGAAAGCTGAAGAAACGTGAGCAACAGTGAAGCAATCACAGTGAGATCCGTTACTGTCTGTGTGTGTGCGTGGATGAGCCGGACGGACTGCGCTCCCGGCCGGCGAGAGATTTTTTTGTGTAGGGAGGGGCGGGCGCTCTATGTGACTGACCAATCACAGAGCGTGAAGACAGTTAGTTACCCAATGAGGACTTTCCTTCAGCACGATTACAGATATTTACGAGGTTTACTCGTCTCATGCTCGTATTCGTCAAAAATGCTTTATCCGTACTGCATACTCGTCTGAAACGAATATCCGGCTCATCCCTAACATTTAAGCATGATGCCGATTATAACTTCATGAAATCTTTTGTTCCCTGGATTTTACAAAAAGGATAGAATCATAACTAGACCTAAATCTTCTCCCCTAAAGCAATCTGAGCTAACCAAATCCTGTCAAATTATCTGTCATTCAGCAACAGCTAAGTGTGAAACTAAAACTTGCATGGGTAAAGTGAGTCATGCATACAGATTGATAATCCTGTTCACATATTTAGTGCAAATGTGCTACTTTTACAAAAATGTTCTGGCCATTGATTACACTTGGGACTATAGTTACCAAATCAAAGATACTTTATTAATCCCAGAGGGAAATAACACAAATCACAGATTCCTTGAGGGTCTCACTGGCGTGATTAAATAATAAAACTGTTCTTGAAACTTGCATTTGACAGTTAGTAGACCCTTGCTTCCCTATTTAAATCTACAGGCTTGCTCCAAACTGAGTTTGCAATTTCAATAAAATGCATCAGTGGTACAGACCTTCTGAGAGGCAAGATACTCCATGCCTCGGGCAACCTGGTAGGCGCAGGACACCAGATCTTTAAATGTGAGCTGTTCGTCTGGGATTTTGCAGGTGTCAAAAGAATAGTCCATGCCTGGAGGACGTCGTGCCCGCAAGTACTCCCTCAGGTTGCCTTTAGAAGCGTACTCCACCAAGACGTACAGTGGACCTGTGGGTCACAAGAGAACATTGCCCCTTTTAGAAAGTGTATAATTCCTGTGTTAATCATCTTCTCTGTATATGCTTAGGACGCACCATCCTGTGTGCAAGCTCCGAGCAGGTTGATGATGTTTTTGTGTTTGCCTATCATCTTCATCATCTCCATTTCTGACACCAGGTCTGACAAATCTTTGTCTGTTGCATCATCTGAAAGCAGGAGGATCAAGTAGACTGAGACATGATCAAAAAGTCTTAAATGAGCATGAGGAACATCTGACCACTGCAGTAAAACACAAAGAATTTGGATTGTTTGTCATATGATTTAGATCGTAGAGAACAGTCATGGTGATTGCTTACCTTTTAGCATCTTCACAGCAACGGTGAGCAGCTTGTTGGGCTTTTCCATATCAATTCCAGATGCGTCAGCCATGACCACCTGACCAAAGCAGCCCTCCCCGAGAGGTTTTCCTAAAGTTAACCTGAAACAAAAACACAACAGGGCTCTCTCCATCAACTCTTAATGCCTTTTTTTTAAAAAAATTCGTTTGGTAGTCGAGCTCATTCTTACCGTGTCCGGGGGAATTCCCATTTGGGGTCAGAGGGCAGCTCGAGCTCTGAGACGTTGGCCAGCATTGGACCATCACTGGAGGACAGACGAGCGATCCGAACCAGTGGTGCGTTTGAATTTGTGGAGGAGTTGGAATCCAAGGACACCTGCTTGGGTTAAAAAAATGAACAAAATACTGATATAGTCTCTGAAACAAAAACAAAAATGCGTGAAGGACTCAGAAGATAAAGTTGAGTGTAGCCTCATGAAGCTGAGATTTTGTTTGACCTACAGCTTTGTTTTATAAAAGGAAACCGGTTAATTTATTACCACCTAAAGGTTACTTTTATCTACTGAGCCCGTACCAAGTAAGCCTGACAGTTTATTTTTTATTTTTGTTTTTTTACCGTGTCCTGTCTGGCTGTGAAGCAGACAGAATTGATGTCTGAATGCTGGTAACAAGCCTTACATATTTACTCTCAGGTGGAGCATCAAAGCGTCTACTTTTAATGTCACGCCTGATACTTAAACCTTTGTTGTTATTGTTTTTGAATGCTTTGTAACTCCGACCAGACACGGAGTCAGAGGTGAAAGAGAAAGGAAAAGACAAAAGGTGGGGAGAGAGGAGGAGGAGGGGGGGGGGGGTTCCACAAAAATAAACAATAATGAACAAGAGTCTGCTTCTAGACCTGCAGAAAAAGACAAGAAAAAAAAGCAAAAGAACAACAAAAAAAGGGACACAACAACAATACAAGATCAAGCTATCACTGTCAATTTGATGAAAAAATATATAATCAATATTGTTTAACTGAACAATCACACGATAATAAATCACAGTGCATTAAGTGCTCACCATAGTCTTAAGACATGTGTTGAACGTGCCCAAGCCCATACTTTTGAGAGCACCATGTGAGCACCTGTGTGTGTACACGCGCTTGTTTATGTAAGGTTTCTCTATAGGAGCGTCCATTAGAGAGTGTGAGAGGCCACAGATCCGCCCCCCAAAGATGCGCAGGAGACGGGGGGAGCTCCAAGTCCCAGAGATCCAGGCGCTGCCCCAGAACACAGGAACCCCAAGGAGACTGCAACCAGAAAGGCCCCCGCCCCCCCTCGAGAGGCACAGAGGATTGCCCCGGGGGGCCACAACCAGCAGCTGGCAGAGTCCCGGGAGACATCAGCGGCAAGCCCAGAGGCCCGCCCGCAGCCTCCCACCCCCTAGCCAGCCGAGCCCGGGACCCAGCGACCCGGGAGCCAGGGCTAACCACCCCCGCCGGGGACCCAGCAGAGCCCAGGGGCCCAGACCCCACCAGGCAGCCACCGGGATCTATCAGGCAGATGCCAAAATCTTAAACCCCCAGACCCGGGAGCCACGAACACTCAGGCAGACCAAGGCCCAACCCCTCACACCAGGTGTGGCAGGGGGAGGGGAAACGAAGATCTATATCATCAAAAGAAGTTCCAGGAGAGGGGAGGAGTCAAAGGCCCCACCTGACATATACAGTCATACACAAACACAGTCACACACTCCCTCCCTCATGCTCACACATACACACCCTATTCACTCTGGTCCCGGTACTGCTGCACATGGGGTACAACCATCACCGGTTGCCAGAGTTTGACCCTTTCTGCTGGGGTGCTGATGAGCAGGCTCCCCCACCCATCGCCGAGCACAGCAACCCACCACCCCAGACCCCAACCGGATGGCCAGATCTCCCTCCTAGCCTCCAGCCCCAGGAGGCCTAGCAACAACAGAGGTGTGCTAAGACCCCTAGTCTCCCTCCGCCTGCTCCAATATAGTGTTGTGTGATCATGAGGTGTATTCCATGGCTGTGGTGAGTGGGCAGTGTGGGCATTGTCTCGCTTATGCCAGCTGATGCCACCGCACCACCCCACTTGCACCCACAGCCCTCGGTGTCTAAGTGCGGTCTTTACCGTGACTGGCTATACCATAGAGGGGATACATTATTATTCCTCCATGATGTGCTCTAAAGAAGCAGACTCTGACCATGTTTTGTACGTGGTTATGTTGGACGAGTTTCAGGCATTTCAGTTCGGGTTGAATTTTTGGGTACATTGAGAACTTTTCCCTAACAATTGGAAGGGATTAATGTAAGATGAATTTTTTTTTAAATCAAAGACTCCTATTACAGGTGAGAACTGGCAACAACTTAGTCTATTTACCAGAAATCTTGACAGCAAGAAGGTGAATAATAAAAAGCTCTGAAATGAAAGGAACTGTGTGTAAAAACATTCCACTTTTTGGAAAAAGTTTCTTTATTTAGCACTTTTCACAGATACAAATCACTAAGTGCATCACAAACAAAACGAGCGCCTCACCTTAGCACAACACATTTCAGAGTAGGTATTGCAGCCGCACTAGCCCGCTCATCCAAAAGGCAATGTGCGCGCATGGTTGCGGAGATGAGGGAGACACTGTAGCACTGACAGCTACTTCAGGGTCACATACAGAAAACACACCAGCTGTCAACCATCTACATGTGTTATTTATGGTTTCTGCTGCTTCCTGCAGTCGGTGTCTCTCTCAGGAAATCAAGAGCCCTCTGACGGTGTCCAGAGTGTGAATATATGTAGAACGTGCCTGATCACTCATTTGCAGCAGCTGCGTCTTCTCGCTCCACTGCTGCCGGTTCTACCGCTTCTTCCGCGAATGCCGTGAACCCCATCTCCCTCCTCCCCATGGCTGAGCACGCACTGCCACTCTCATCAATGACTTCCTGATTTTCAATCCAGCAGTTGGAGCAGTGCCAAGACACCCAAAGGGAAGGAGCAGAGCGTTCCCAAATCAGCAGGGCTGCCACGGAGGGAGCTGGCGCCGCCCCCACAAAACATTTACGCCGGGGACACACTGGCCGCGGAAGCACCGCGAAAATGGGACTGCCTTCATTCGGCGCCCTTGTTAAGCTATTCTATAGACCACATGGGCCACCGAAGCGCCGCGAATCGCCTCGCGCCGGCGCTCCAGCCCGCGCCATGCAGCGATCATTTCGGCGTCGGCTCTATTTTTTTTCGCGAGCCGCGGGTGAATCGCGTCAATTCTGGCAGGAAGTCAAACCTAGACATAAGAGGCAGGCCGGTAAAGTTAACAAAATAAAGCATTTCAAAATAAAATTCCGCAATAGTCAAATGTGTTCGTAATCAGACACTGCAGAAAAACCACACGAACACGCACACACATACACACACATCGAACTTGTGTGCGTGTGTGACCACGTGAAGGGGGTGTGGTTTGGGTGTCTTTTCACCGGAGCAAACAGGACAGAGAGGCAGAAAGTCTGAGGCAAGCAGTTAAGATGGATGACTTTAAATTAATTATGGAAGTTGAGAAACACAAGGAGCTGTACGACCCCCGAAAAACATGATTATTTACGTACCCATGTCGGAAGAAACTGCTAGGATACAGCTGCAGAATTGGAGCGGGTTCCAAGAGATTCAACTGGCAGAAACAACTCATACCATAGGTTCTCACACACACACACACACACACACACACACACACACACACACACACACACACACACACAAACGTAGGAGGAAAAGAGCTGAGAAATGGCAGAGAGGAAATGGAGGACACCAAGTGTTTAAAAGAAAAACTACAGCTGAGCCGAGGCGCGCATCGACTGGGGCGCGTCTGATCTGAACTGAGGAGCGGCGAGCAGCGGTCGAATTTCGTGAGCGATTCGCTTCTCGGCGCTTCGCAGCGCTTCCGCGGCCGGTGTGTCCCCGGAGTTAGAGGGAGAAAGAGAACTTTCATGTCAAAGCACAAATATGGAACACGGAGCATTGTATCTTGTATGTCCGTAAAAAACTACGGCAAGGTGGCATATGGAGTGTCAACCACAGTTTATGTAAAAAAAACTATGTAAATTTTGAAGCTAATAGACTTTAGAACTGATGGTGGTGATGAATATAATAAAAAGTACACGTACAGAGAATTTGTTAGTGTACAAGTAAAAATATTACACACTGTGCCTTTAAAGCCTGCAATTAAACAATCTAAAACTTAAGTTTAGAAGTCTTGAACCAAAGAATACAAACGTTATACAACACTGAACATGATTTTCCAGCATTTAAAGGTCAAACGTTGCTTTAATTGTTTCTCCAAACAAATTATAACTTCCAAGTTTGCTTTCTAAAATTACACATTCTGAGAAGCAGAACTGTTCTATAATAAAGTCTGAAAGCGAGAATACACAGAAAACCTCACAGTGGTTTTTATTACAGGGCTGGGCAGGGTGGATACTTAAACTCAACTGAAGACACTCAGAGAACGCAGAGAGCAGGAACCAAAGGAACAGTACCATCAACACAACAAACTAACTATTTGGCCTCAACGCACGGGCGGCTAGGTGTCTAAATTGTTGTCATGATAAAGAGCAACAACTACTCTTACTCCTGTAAATATTCTTCTCTCATTCATAACATAATTTTAAGATGCGTGTGAAAGTTCACAATCGTCAGCTGACCTACAGTAATATCCTAATGTACAGATATCAGTGCTAGAAAAAGGTTTATGTCAGTTTAGAGCAAAACAACTGTCTGCCCACCACAAAATGGGTACAGACTGGAAAATGAAACTGTGAGGAAACCTTTAGAACGCATCTTTTCCGAGGCAATAATATTTTATAACATTATTGGCACGTTTCCACTGTCAGAACGTCTTCACTCTCAGCCCTTTCAGGACTTTGCTCAGTTGTCAGCATATTGCATTGGCTTTGGCAGAGTGATGTCACAGATCAGCGCCAAAAAACATCCATAGTAATATTGAAAATTTTACTCTGTCAAAGTACATCAATTAAAACCATTCAGAGGATGGAGAGTGTCTGGGCAATATAAAACGTGGCGTTCAATGACCAGAAGAAGCTCTGTCAAACAGCAAGGCCCCGTGAATTATGCCGTTTTGGAGGGATTTCTGCTGAATTTTTCAGCGTTTGAAGTTTATGAACAGCGATTTTAAATCAGTTAAACAGTGCTTAATTGCTTGAGCTTCCGTTCTGCTTCACAAGCAACTTTTCAAATTTTACAAATGCTTTGCCTGCTGATGTAATTTCCTGAGTTATAGCTAATCAGTATGAGTTAACTAAAAGTTCAGCTCAGCTTCTTCCAGGCCTTTCCAAATGCCTTCCTCTGTTCAGGTACTCTGAAGGTTTCTGAAAATAGCCTGTTCAGCTGGCCTGGTGAAGTGGGGACACGTGCATGCTGGGAAGACATGCCTAAAACTCCTTTCACAGGGGGCGTCCAGAAAGCATCCTGAACCACCTCAGCTGGCTCATCTCAACATAGAGAAGCAGCCGCTCTACTCAGACTCCCTCCTGGAGGCTAAGACCAGCCATTCTTCTTGCATTCATAATCCTGTTTCTTCAGTCATCACCCCTAGCTGATGGCCCCGTATGAAGATTAGCTGTCTGTTTAGTGCCCATCATTGCTTGTTCAAAATACTATGAGTAAAAGAACATGTGATGCCTTCCAGTATCTTACAGCATCTGGACTGGACTACACAGCTGGAATGGCAATGGCCAAGTCAAATACTTATACATGCATAAATGATTAAAAAGTAGGGATGCAATGAAATGAAAATTCATGGCTGAAACCAAAAATAAGGAAACCAATGCCGAAAACCGAAATACAATATGTCCATAATCAAAACCATAGCATCTATGGCTACAAACATATATTCATAAAATAATTAATTATACCAGTGTACAGGCTTATAACTGAAAGGCTTGCAGAGGACTGTAAAATGAACCCTTTAATCATCAAATTGGCAAGATTGACTTTAACAAGTCACAGCTGCAAATGCAATCCCACGTGTAGTTATTTCTTTACACTAGAAGATAACAGAGATGTGAAACTTATATCTGAGCAACACTTTGGGTGTTTCTATTGAAAATGTTGACATTTATAGAGTTTGAAAACTGCATCCCTATTAAAAAGCCAAAAAGAAGGCATATTTTCCAATCACATTTCTTCAAGTTTTGAATTATTTGGCACACATTTGTACTTGTTATTGCTATCACATTTGACTAGAGCACTCTTCTAAAATCTACACAGAAAGAGAAGAAGAAGAAAATTTGTTTTTCAAATCTTGTATCTACTTTCTGTTACCTGTCTCTTCAGGGGAAACTTTGTCAGCTTTTGCACAGGAGGTGAAGGTAGAGGTTTCTTTGTGGTCATCCTCATACGGCACAGAATGATGATAACCACCGTGAGGATGAAGAGCACACAGCCTGTCACATAGATGAGGATGTCGGCATAGTAGTCGTCTTTGTTTGGGTTCTCTGGGTTAGTAGGAAACGGTAAAAAAATAAATAAATGAAAAAGTAAGTAAATGAAGCAATGAGCAGTTTCTTAGCAGCAACCTTCATAAGTCAAAACCAATCAGTTCACATTTAAAGCAGAGACAGAGATGAAGCAGCTGGTAATTACACCTGTGCTGTGCTTCTCCCCAGAAAGGTAATTACAAAGAAATCAAATAAAGAAAAACCTCAGAGCCGTAGGACCTTTAAATGGAGACTCGACTCTAATTGGGGAGTGTGTTTTTTTAAAGCCTGGATTGCATGCAGGGCCTGTTCATTTAACAGGAAAACATAACACCAGTAAATGTTAACACTATAATAACACATGGTATTTAAATAAAATAAGACCGAAGACTGGACAAAACAGTACATTTTTGTTAAAAACACAGTATAAATGACTTTTTCATACATTTTTTAGCATTGTGCAAAAAAGGGCAACCAGAGTCCAGACAGCCATGGGTTAAACCGAAATATACCTGGAAGGACCGTCAGCCAAGCAGAGTGGTAAGAGAAGCCAATAGAGTTCCCTGCCAGGCAAGTGTACTCGCCGGCATCCTCAAACGACACATTGGTCAAGAAGAGAACCTCTAGCTCCTTATCTGTTGTATTAATACCAGCCGTCTGTTAGGGGGAAATAAGGGGAGGTGAAAGAAGAGATAGACAGAGAAGAGATTTTAAGACACACAAACACCAAATACACCCCGGAGTAAAGAATAGGACTGAGGCGTCAGCTCTGCCACCACCAGCAAAAAAACAAAAACAACAACCAAAAGGTTCTTGCTGTGAAAGAAGCACCACGGTTCAAGCAAAGACCACAAAAGCACGTTGAGTGTGTTCCTGTTTAAGTCACTAATCCTTCATCTTAAAAAGCTGACTGTGACTGTTTAACAAGAGATGAAAAGTAAGTCATTTAAAAAGAGAAGATTTTTGTTTCAGTTCTAAAGCTGGCCAGTGAAGGCTACAGGCTTGTATAATTACAATTATGACTAAATGAAAGATCATCCTTCAGTTCTAGGGTTTTATGACATAATATTTATGTAATAAATAATGACAGGGTGTTCATCTGCACTTAAATTTAGAGGTCTGGGGTCTCATTTATAAAACATTGCGTAGAATCCTTACTAAAACCGTACTTGAGCTCAGCAAAAAAATGTACTTACGCAAAGTAGGTGTGTGATCTATAAAACATGGAGTACACACAGCTTCAAGTAATCTCTGCATAATAGATCAGAGACTAACTAGAAAGTTTCTCAGCTGTTCTGTCACATTCCGCCCTCAGCACGCCCACTTTCTGCCATAAATGGTCAATGCAAAGTGCCTTGTGGATGTTTGCTTGGTGAAGTACTTCTGAAAAGAGCTGTTTGGCTGTATCAGCTTGCAGCGCTGCAAAGATGCTTTTGACTGTAGGTCAAAGGAGTTTGTTTCAAAAGAAGCTTCTTTCCCAATTTGGCCGAATCGGGAGTGAGCTGGAAACTGAATTAATCGGGAAGTAATTCTTGTTACTTAAGTAACCAGGGCGCATGATCAATCAGGTCACAGTGACAGGACACACAAGCTGTCACAGACGCATGACATTCTGCCCCAATCTGTCCCCCTGCTGATATTGAGCATTCCGTATTCTGCACTTCAGGCTGTGTGTGTGTGTGAGTGCGTGTGTGTGTGTGTGTGTGTGTGTGTGTGTGGGGGGGGGGGGGGGGTGGCTTGTTCTGTGTGAGCTCGAAGCTGTACAAGTGATAATGCTGCAGGATTTCATAATCGTATCCTCAGCAGCAGCACTGCAGGTGCTCTCCATGTCCAACATGTGTGTAAGCCAGGTCCTTAGTCAACTTAAAGTTGAGCACATTTTTCCGCCAAGTTTTCTTTTATAAATCCCAAAGTTTGCGTGAAAAGTTGCTTACGCAGTTTTCCGACCCCGTTTTGTGTGTAAGCAAGCGTGATAAATGAGGCCCCAGATCAGTTTAATTTTGATTGGATGCATAAAACCCTAAAATTGCATGGCTTTTAAATGAGCGTTCACATAAGATGGTGTATTTATATATCCTTGAAATATACTATAAAAACTATTTTTCTCTGATTGTTGGTCCAGCCACGGTCCATAGAGTCTCAGCAGGCTAGGGCAGTAATGTGCTTAGCAAATCACAGTGCTCTATTGGTTTGATGAGCAGTATATTACTGAGATGAAGATAGCATCAGCTCTTTTGAAATGGCTTTGGCATCAACTTTGGACTTTTTAGACTTTGGCGTTTCTTTGAGTCAAGAGTGGACTGAGGTACCCAAGTCCTTTATTTAGAAAAATGTTGTTTTGTTTTTGACAGTAAACGGCAGATTGGCCCACTGACTGAAATCCAAAAAAACCTGTAGATTCTGCTCTATGGCTGAGCTCTGTACGGGTCATGGCCAGACTATATATTCCCATACATAGGATGGCTCGCCTCGCTAGTATTTATATGCTAGTCGGACAACATTGCAGCCATGGCAACCGTTGATGTTATATCCATTTTTGACAGAGATCAAAGGTGGTGTTGGGACTTAATGGGAATCATAGTTACTAGCTACTGTACTAAAACTGTGTGTGTATGTGTGCATTTTATTAGCTAGTCAAGCAGACCCACATCCAAGGAAGAAGACTGCATAGGGAAGCTGGCAGAACAACATATCACATGTGATAGAGGCGGTTCTTACAGGGACTTCAGTATTTACCTGCTTTTTGTACCTTAAGCCAGAAAGCTTTTTCCGATTTGCCTACAAAGTTTGTGGCACGGCACCAGTACTTCCCAGCATCTTTCTCTGTCACGCTGGACAGTTTCAATTTACTGTGGGCCACAGTGTGTTTACTGACATTACTCTGTGAGGGGAAAATCAAGATGCACAGTGAGGCTTTCACAGATCCTGGAAAAGCACACTGTTACAAAAGATGGCATTAGCGCTGAGAGCTTCCTGATCATTGGTGTGAGTGCTCACTGAACAGTAAAATAAAATAAAAAGTTCTTTAAGAGGTACAAAATCCTTATAATCAGGTTACCTCTCAGCCTTAAAAATAAACTGTGCCATATCATCCATAAAAATACAAAAAAGCAAAAAACACAAAGACATTATGTCAGTCCTATCAGACTGTGTCGCCTGAATGTGGTAATACACACACACACACACACACACACACGCACACACACACACACACACACACCCTTCACAATCTCCCAGAACAAATACCTGATACTGAATTATGAAATGGGCATAGATTATGAACATTTACTTTTTCATTGCTGCTACACAAACGTCCAGGGCTTGGCTCCAGATACCCCACTGGCATTTCTGCCCAAAATTAAAAATAAACAAATACATAAATTGGTGCTATCTTCGACCAGGACGTCATTCAAATCTCACGTTAAACAGGTTTGTAGGATTTCCTTTTTCCACCTTCGGAATATTGCTAAGATTAGAAGCATACTTTCCAGGAGTGATGCTGAAAAACTAGTTCATGCATTTATTACATCAAGACTGGATTACTGTAATCCATTACTCTCAGGAGGTCCACAGAATGTAGTTAAAAGTCTTCAGCTTGTCCAAAATGCCGCAGCTAGAGTTCTGATGAGAATTAAAAAGAGAGATCATATCTCTCCTGTCTTAGCTTCCCTACATTGGCTACCTGTTAAATTCAGAATAGATTTTAAGATCCTCCTTCTCACATATAAAGCTCTTAATAATCAAGGTCCATCATACATCAGTGATATAATTGTTCCATATGTTCCTAACCGAGCACTTCGCTCTCAGACTGCAGGTTTACTGGTGGTTCCCAGAATATCTAAAATTAGGATGGGAGGCAGATCTTTTAGTTGTCAGGCTCCTCTCCTGTGGAACCAGCTCCCAGCCTTAGTCTGTGAGGCAGACACTTTGTCTACTTTTAAGACTAGGCTTTAAACATTTTTATTTGATAGGGCCTATGGTTAAAATCTGATGTTAGCCTAAATCTGGACAAGTGGGGGAGTAGAGGGAGGTGGAGTGTACAGTCGGTAAAGACGGCCCCCCTTGCCCTGCCTCCAACATGCCTCCATCTAAAAGGCTAGGTTATCTAGAGTTATCTCTGTAGTTATGCTACTTAAGGCTTAGATTGCTGGAGGACATACTGACCACTTTCCACACTCGATTATTTTCTTCTACGATTTGCTCTTTAATTGTATTATTTCTGTCCCAATTCGGGATGGTAGGACCCAAAATGCAGGAACCCAAGATGACACGAGGCAGGTGATAATGTAAAGAAAAATCCTTTATTTTGAAGGATGAGTCCAAAAAATAAGAATAAATCCACAGGAGCTGGAAGTCAAAACTTCAATAAGTCCAAAATGAAAACTAGAGACAAAACACTAGAGACTAGAGAGGGCTGAGATCAAAATACTAGAGACAAAGAACACTAGAGACTAGAGCAGAACTGACAGAATACCACAATGGACCGACACAAGACAGAGACAAGACAGGGCTTATATACACAGGGAGGAGTAATTAGGGAAATTGGCAGCAGGTGTGTGGAGTGAGGGCTGGAGGGAAGACAGGTGAATCTAATAATCTAACTGGGAAAACAGAAACAGAGGAGGGCAAATACCTAAACACAAAACTAAACAACAATTATCTAAAGACAGAGGGAAGGGCTCACACAAAGTAGCTGGAGGAGGACATAAAACACACACACACACACACACACACACACACACACATACACACACACACACACACACACACACACACACATACACTGAGCTAGGGACAAAGAGGCTGGAGCTGACCTGGGAGGAATGATTTAAAAGGGTAACAACATAAGACACTTAACTGAGACGCAGACAAAAGACACATGAGGGCGCTATGAGACACAGAATGGAATCTAGAGAGGGATGGAGAAACATCAGGAGACACATGAAGGAAGACACAGATGCAGACAATGACAATTTCCTTTTATTTCAGCTAACTTTATTTCCTCTCTAAGTGGTTTTCTCCCCAGAAGAAGCTACAATGATCTTCTGCTGAGCTGTGGTGGCCTCATGGAGGGGGCCATCGGATTGAACACTGTTGCTAACCATTTAAACATTCTCCCTCTCCTGATAACATTTTACTTTCTTCGACATTGAATGTGTTACCCGTTTAATTATAGATTCACTAGGATAAATACAATAAAGTTTATCTCTCACCAAATTGAATATTTACTAAGAAATCACAATGTAACCATAGAAACACTACTTGGTGTATATGTTTTGTGTGTGTGTGAGTGTGTGTGTGTGTCTGCTCTGTCTTCTTGATCCCCAGTGGGTCATGGTGGATGGCTTCTTATGCTGAGCCAGGATTCTCTGGAGGTTTCTTCCTGTTAAAATGGAGTTTTCTTCTTCACAGTCGCTAAATGCTTGCTTAGTATGAGGATTGCTGTAAAATTACTGACACCAGTCAGTGTCTTTATGCAATTTGCTGGGTTCCTTATGTAGGAAACTTTTACTGATTGGATTAATGAACTGGCCTGTATAGGGATGTTTACTATGTGAAGTGCCTTGAGACGACTCTTGTCCGAATTTGGCACTATTTATATAAACTTGAATTAAATAGATCCCTCCAAGACTGTTGGAACAAAAAGAGTGATGGTATGGTGTGGTATATGGGGTTCAAAGATAGTGGGGCCATTCTTCATCAATGGAAACCTCAAGGCCACTGGATATTTGAAATTGGTACATGATGATGTGTTTCCCTCTTTATGCGCTGAAACTGGCACATTCCCTTAGTTTTTCCAGCATCACCACATTATGGGTGTCAGGTCCGAGCATTCCTAGATGAACAGTTTCCTGGAAAGTGGATTGGTCGTCGTGGGCCAGTTGACTGGCCCCAAGGTCTCCCGATCTGACCCCCTTCGACTTTTATCTTTGGGGTCATCTGAAGGCAATTGTCAACGGTGTGAAGATACGAGATGTGTAGCACCTGAAACTACGGATACTGTAAGCCTTTGTTGGCATTTCTCCTGTGGTGTTGCTATCAGTGTGTGAAGAGTGGGAGAAGAGGCTTGCATTGACAATCCAACACAATGGGCAGCAAATCGAACACATTTTATAAGTGGTCAGAAACTTGTAAATAACTCATGAAAGAATAAAGTTATGTTAAAACCAAGCCCATCATTGTTTTTTCTGGTGAAATTACCGATAGGTTCGCTGTGTCACATGACCCTCTTCCTATTAAAAACAAAAGTTGGATCCAAGATGGCCAACTTCAAAATGGCCAACATGGTCACCACCCATCTTGAAAAGTTTGCCCCCAAACATATACTAATGTGCCACAAACAGGACGTTAAAATCGCCAACCATTCCCATTTTATTAAGGAGTATCCATATGAATGGCCAGCCCTGTATTTAATTTTAATGTTGATGTTTGCTTTTCAAAGTTTTGAATATGTTCTGCTGAGGTAAAATGACGAATTCTGTTTTGCTCCTGTTTCTGGATCTGTTAGATGACTCACAGGCTAAAACTTCAAGCTCTGAGATTTCTTTACACTCAAATAAATTATGGTTTGAAGCTCTATCAAATGTTTCTATCACGACTAAAGCTTAAGGAAAACTTCTTGGTCTTAGTCATATTATTTTTGGTTCTTTGTAAAAATAAATAAATAAATAAATAAGCACATGTGTGAGAGTGAAGAATCACCCAAAGATACAGAAAGGAGTGCTACTCCAATCCTCAGCTCTTTTTTCCCTACAATGTTTTCTTCAATCATTTTATTTCTTTTTCTCTGTCAACCTCACTGCCTTTTCTCACACAAGACACCGTTCTGTTGCCCATTCCCTTTGCTGACTTTGCCCTTCATGGTGTTCCCCACTCATTTTTTCCATGCGTTTTTAGCTCCCTCTTCCCTTTTCCTCTCTCTCTCAGTCCTCCTCTTCGAACCGTGCGATGCAGCACATCTGACGGCAGCAGTGGTTAGCCTAGCCTGTCTCCTTCCATGCACTGCCGCCACCACAGCAGTTAACTTAGTCCAAACCAGATGTTTGTTATTTTTCCTTCTCTCTAAAAGTAAAAAAAGAAAAAGAAAAAAGAAACGTTTGGAGGAGGAGTGGGGTGCAAATGAGAAAGCAAAAGCCTTCCAGAGCCTTCCAGCTGTCACCACCACATTGGGTTTAGACCTCTTTCTTTTATTTCCACAAGAAAAACTTGCAGCTGAAAAGCATCTTCATGTAGTTCTTGCAAACAATTCAAGTCAGTTTATTTATATAGCAGTAAATAACAAGTCGTCTCGAGACACTTCACAAAATAAACACTCATATTGAGTTCAGTTCATTATGCCAGTGAGTTAAGAGTGTCCTATATAAGGAAACTCAAACGATTGCATCGAGTCACTGACTTGTCACAACAAGTCAGTGACTCGATGAGGCTTTATCCCCATACTAAACTTTATCCCCGTACTAAACAAGCATGTAGCGTCAGTGGAGAGGAAAACTCCCTTTAATGGGAAGAAACCTCCAACAGAACCTGGCTTTGTCTGCCAAACAGGACCCTTGATCCGATTATGTATCAGAGAAAGAACAAAACAAAAAAAAGATTTTATCCACAGCGAACTCTAATTCAGATTCATCTGGTCTGGTGTTGGAGCAATGCTTTGTTCATCATTACTTTAGTGAAATTAGCCTGAGGACCCCACAGAGTACCTTCTATATAAAACATGAGACGCTAACCCTAGAGTCTAAGGACTCTATTTTAAGAAATGAAAAGCTCTACACCCACCTTCAGGATGTGGACGTAGGGGGCACCATCAGGACCATAGCGGCTGCCATTAACCTCAATGTGTTTGAGCCACTGAATGTGAGGCTGGGCATCGCTGTAAACCTTACAGTGGAACTCCACATCGTTGCCTACTACCACTGTCTGATTGGCTGGCAAGCCTGCCTGCAGGATGGGCCTGTGAGGTGACCGCTCTGACAATCAAAACAAAATATCAAATCATTAGGATCAGTTATGCTAGCCAGGTTTTTATGAAAAATGCCAGTGAAATCCTGGAAAGACTGACAAGAGCAGAGGTGAAAAGTAAATTTCACTGTTGTTTTACCCAGAACATCCAGCTGGTAGGTGTGGCTGATGGTCCCGTACTTGTTTTGCACCACACAGGTGTAGTTCCCACGGTCCGATGGCACGGCACTTTCCATCACCAGGCTCCACTGCTGGTCTCTCAACTGAAGGACAGTGGGACGAGGAGAATAAGGTCAGTAATGTTGTTGGTGATGAACCGAGTCTGCTGCTGGATAATTCAGACACTATAAACTCATTTTCATTTCTCTCAAATGCAAAGTAAGCCCAAGTAGTAAAACCCATGTTGATACAATCTGTCTTGTCTTTCAGCAGTCTACAAAAATAGTGGGGTTAGCGCGTCCTCCTGTAGTTTGAATGTAAAATTTTAGAATTGTTCTCTTCTTTTTCTACCTTCTTTGATTATTACTTAATATTTATGATATCATCTAGTAGAAGGAACATCATAGAGGACATTTTCTCATGGAATGATTTATTTGAAAAAACAAAACAAAACAAACAATAATAATAATTGTTTTGTCGATTTAGAATCAGAACTTTTTTGCATTCTGACAGTAGTTTTATTCACCAGTCAGGAGGGTGGATTGATGAATTACGCTCGCAGTTCAAACTGGGTGCAGCTGGATGGCAGCAGCCGACCACTTCTCACCTGTGAGGTGCAGTGAGTGGCCCAGCACAAACAGAACAGAAAACATGATGGAAGTCTCCACCCGCCCGTGTGAATGAGCAGAGATTCTGCTGCTGGGCAACCCAACAGTAAACCCAACAGTCAGAGTCATCTAGGTAACTTTGCTAGGTAGAACTCCCAACCTCACCTGCACAGGAAAACGCACGCATCCAATAAGGACTTGATGTTTTCATATAAACTTAACCTAACATGTCTGAGTAACCGAGGACCATTCACACAGGGTGGGATGCACACATCTTAACTTTCAGTCCTGGAAGCGTATTTGGAAAATAAAGCAACAGTGTAAATATTATGCCCGAGTGTGTTTTTAGCAGTTGCACGGTAACATAGACCAGGCCATGTCTTCAAGGCTGGCAAATGTTTTTTTTTTCTTCTTTTCTTTTTTTGTGGAGTGACTGGCTCCACCCCATTACCCCTCTCTGAGCCGAGGAGTCAAACTGGAGTAAATCGCTGCTTTCATGAGCAGATGAGTGACAACGCCTTGTGCTGCGGTCGCTGACTAGAGGGTGGTGTGGAGAGAAAAAAATTGGCAACTCATGAGAAGGGAGGAGGCAAAAATGTGGTAAAATATGAGCTGAAGCTGATATTCAGTAAAGGCCAGGACCACCAACAATAAATGGAGGTTAATCAGAGTTATAGCAGGCAGTTACCATTCCGTCTGGGACTGGTGTGCCAATCTGAAATTTCTGTGGGCAAATCTGGAGTACTGTATTACTATTACTATTTAGCTTCTTTGTGAAACTGTTGTTTGCAAACATTTTTTTCATGTGCAAAAATACTAAAATCACATTTTTGTAAGTATTAAAAAACAATTTTCTCAGATTTTGTACCTAAAATTTCTCAGTTGTTTTTTACTCTTATGCCATTGCCATTTATTAACATGCTTCACCGGCTAACACCTGCTGAATCTGTAGCATTGTTTCCAAACACAGTAATCCCATTTATTTCAGTAATGGCACATTCCAGGCAGAATTTAATTATTAGGTGTCAGAACCCAAGCCCCCAAACCGGCCTCTCCCAGCTAACCGGCCTCCATCTTGGACCACATTTCCCAGCAAGCTCCTCGCGGGAACTCCCGGCATTCTCCCAGTCACACCCAAGCCTATATATGGAAGACGCCGCACCGGCTCTTCACTCAGTCATCGTTTCATTGAAACCCCTGATCAGAGTTCTCTACCGAATAATCCAGACGTCAAACATCCTTACCGAGTTCAACTCCCGTACCCAGTCGACCATCGTGACAGGATGACTGAGTCCGTAGATCCAGCGGAGTTCGAGCGCATGAAAAGAAAGACGGAGCAAATGGAAAATGAACTCATTCAGCTCCACGCCCTGATCGATCGGCTCCACACCAAACAAAACTCCCAGACCGATCTCATCCTACAATTATCCACAGCCCTCCATGCTCTCCAGCAGCAAGCCCTCGCTCCACCAACAGAGGGGCTGCACTTTAGTCTCCCAGAGAGGTGGAACGGAGAGACGGGGAGCCCAGACGGTCTACTCGCCACCCTCGACATGCAGTTTGAGTGCCAGCCAGGGCGCTTCCCCACTGCGCGCTCTCGGGTGGCGCATCTCACCTCCCTGCTCTCCGGATGCGCGGCTGAGTGGGCCGCTGCACTTTATAATTCCAAATCACCGGCTTGCAATGACTATGCTGCTTTTGTGTCCGCCCTCAGAAAGACTTTTGTTCCACCCAGCAGCGAAGTGGGAGCAGAAACACAACTCCTAAAGCTCCGCCAGCGGGAGCGCACGGTGTGCGCTTATGCGTCGGAGTTCCGCACCATCTCCGCCAAGCTGCGGTGGGATGACTCTGCCCTCCGAGCCGTCTTCTTGGAGGGACTGGCGACCTACATCCGTGATGAGATGGCGGGAAAGGAACTGCCCCAGACCCTGGATGAAGTGGTCGATTTGGCGCTGCGCATGGATCAGCGGGTTCTGGTTCGGCCCAAGCCCTTCACTCGCCCATCCAGGGCACCTGGCCCTCTTCCTTGTTCCCCCACGCCTGCTCCCGGACCCGCTTCTACTGATGAGCCCATGCAATCAGGCCACCTTCCTCCAGAGGAGAGACAGCGACGGTGGCGCGAGGGTCTCTGTGCCTATTGTGGCTCCTCCCACCACAGACGCCTGAACTGTCCATTACGTTTGGGAAACGAAGGAACCCACTGAGTATCGGGGTCGCTCAGCCTGGGTCACCTTCAGCCCCCGCCTCTTCAAATCGACTCCTTCTTCATGTTACCCTCCTTCATGGTGAGACCTCACTTCAGATGCACTTGCTGTTGGACTCGGGGGCCGCTGACAATTTTATGGACATGGATCTGGCTAAGCGCCTACGGATCCCCATGACCCCCTTGGAGAGAGTTGTGCCTGTGACCTCGGTGGACGGTAGGCCCCTCCAACCCTATCCGATCCAAAACCGAACCCAGCCACTCCAGATGATTGTCCAAGGCCACCGAGAGACCCTCCAGTTCCTGATCATATGTGCTCCCTCCTCTCCTCTAATCCTGGGATTTCCCTGGCTCCGTCTCCACGACCCCCGGATTTCCTGGTCCCAGGGCCGCATTTTGGAATGGGGGACCCAGTGCCAGGCCCACCTCTCTCCTCCTACATCCATGCCAGACCGCCCGGACGGTGACACTGGCCAAACACCGCCCAATCTGCCACTGCCCTACCGGGACCTGGCTGCGGTGTTCGACAAGCGGCGCGCCACCACACTGCCGCCTCACCGCCCGTACGACATGGAAATCAAGCTGCAACCAGGAACCAGTCCACCCCGGGGGCGCCTTTTTTCTCTCTCTCCCGCCGAGTCCAGAGCCATGGAGGAATATATTGACCAGGCCCTCCAGCAGGGTTTCATTCGACCTTCCTCCTCCCCGGGTGCCGCAGGCTTCTTCTTTGTCAGGAAAAAGGAGGGTGATCTCCGCCCCTGTATCGATTACCGAGGTCTGAACAAAATCACAGTCAAAGACCGTCATCCTCTGCCGCTCCTCACATCTGCCCTGGACGCCATCTCCCAGGCGCGGATCTTCACCAAGCTGGACCTCCGGAGCGCCTACAATCTGGTCCGTATTAAAGCTGGAGATGAGTGGAAGACCGCTTTCATCACACCCACCGGTCACTGGGAGTACCAGGTAATGCCCTTCGGGCTGTGCAATAGCCCCGCCGTTTTTCAACGCCTCATAAACAATGTCCTCCGCGACATGTTGGGACGGTGGGTGTTTGCCTACCTGGATGACATCCTGATCTACTCCAAGTCCGAGGCCGAACACCTCCACCATGTTCGCGCTGTTCTAACCCGGCTCCTGGACAATAACCTGTTCTGTAAGCCCGAGAAGTGCTCCTTCCACCAGCGGTCCGTATCATTCCTGGGCTACATGATTTCAGATAAAGGACTAACCATGGACCCTCAGAAAGTCCAGGCGGTGAGAGACTGGCCACTCCCGACGAGCCTGAAACAACTGCAGAGTTTTCTGGGTTTCTGCAACTTTTACCGCCGTTTTATTAAGGACTTTAGCACCATTGTGGCACCTCTCACTTCTCTCACCCGACCAAGCCCTCCGAGCCAACCGTTCCGGCTGACTCCTGACGCCGTTCGGGCCTTCCAACACCTAGTCGCCCGTTTCACGTCGGCTCCTATCCTCCGCCATCCGGATCATGCAGTCCCCTTTGTGGTCGAGGTTGACGCCTCGGATGTTGACGCCGGTGCCATCTTGTCCCAAGCCGGGCCCGACGACAGGCTTCATCCCTGCGCCTACTTCTCCAGGAAGTTTTCCACCACCCAGCAGAAGTACGGCGTAGGGGATCGCGAGCTGCTGGCCATAAAGTGGGCATTGGAGGAATGGAGGCAGTGGCTACTGGGCACCACTCAGCCGTTCACCATCTGGACGGACCACCAGAACCTGACCCACATCAGATCAGCCAAGCAGCTCAATCCTCGCCAGGCCCGCTGGGCCCTCTTCTTTGAGCCCTATGAATTCCATCTCGCCTACCGCCCAGGGACAAAGAACCAGAAGGCGGACGCCCTTTCCCGCCAGTTCACACATTCAATGCCCACGTCCGAGCCGGCACCTATCCTCCCCGAGCACCGTTTCTTGGCCCACCTGAGGTGGCCACTGGAGGAGGCTATCCAAAACGCCCTCCGAGACGATCCAGCACCTCCAGAGACCCCCGCGGGTCGGCTCTACGTCCCCACGGCCTGTCGCAGCGAGGCATTGTCCTGGGCCCACTCATCACGCCTGTCTGGCCACGCGGGCTTCTCACGGACTCTTAGGTTCCTCAAACGAGCTCTCTGGTGGCCACGTATGGAGAGAGATGTAAAAGACTATACGAGTGCCTGTGACGTCTGCGCCCGCTCCAAGACATCCAACCAGGCCTCGGTTGGTACCCTCAGACCTCTTCCGGTACCCAGCCGCCCCTGGTCCCATGTGGGGTTGGACTTCGTCACAGGGCTCCCACCAGTCA